AATGGAAAGTAAGGCTGAGTATTGGAACAGCTTCTGTCAGAGTGTCTGACAAAACTATACTACCAGTACTAAAAATACAGAAGTTATTGAAGGATTTGGTTATCTTGGCATTTACCTATGGAAATGATGCTTAATCCATGTGATTGTAATACTCTTACTTCATTTTATGTATGGGTTTGTACTGATATTGTTCCAATGCTTATATGAATGTAGATACCTGTGTGTGTGTGTGTGTGTGTGATAGTGTATGTGTTTGTGAGATGTATGTGTTTCAGTCCTAAAACACATGCCACCTACTAGTACATCTGCCATGATGGACTAGTTCATCTGATAGTTTTTGCAAATCATTCTCTCTCAGCCCAACCAACTTCACAGGGCTCTTGTTGTGAGGAAAAGTTGGGGGAAAAACTGGTCTGAATGCATCTTAAGTTCCTGCATGAAATCTAATAATAATAAAAATAAATAAATAAATAAATAAGAACCTTATTGTTGATTGAGTTTTAACATGCAGAATTTTTCTACCTGGAGAAGCTTCCAAAGGTATACCTTGCAATAATGAATTCCATGAAAGCCTTGTTTCAGGTAAAAAAAAAATTGTTTGTGTCAATTCCAATTGACTGCAGTCTCCATTAAGATTGGACAGTTGTCCATCTGCAAAAATGAGGATGTTGGCAACCACAAAACTCATTATGTAACGCCGTTAATCAGATAACCTTGATCTGAAGACCTACTTTGGATTACCAACAGGAGGTTGTTATTCATCCTGATGAGAATGCTTATTTTGGGCCCAGTGAGCAAGAGGTGCTTTGTGGTGTCAGTCCATTTGCTATTGATCGCATACAATAGATAAAAGAAGCCTGTGGTAACTGACACCTCCACTTGGTGACCAACATTACATTTTATGAATGGCCAGGCCCACATTTAGACTCCTAATATGTTTTCTTTCTTTGAAGTTCTATCAATTACACTGTGGAATAACTTTCCCATTCCTTTTAAACCTTTAATTCTGTGCCTGGAGTTACCATTTCAAAGCTGAAGGTAATCACTTGTTTTTCTGTAATATTTGAACAAGCGCTTTTAGGTTTTATTGGTTCTGCATTCCTCGCATTTACAAGTTTTTAACCTGCATTCATTTTATCCAGATTTATCCATTGACTCATTCCAAAAACATAAATATGTTAACGATTTGATTGGAGTTTAATTGACTTATACCTTGAAGAAATTTTGAAGACTGTACTGATCTTATCAAAGATTCAGTTGCTGGGGAAATCCCTGCTTTTCTGCTGGATTTGCAAGATGGCAGTAGGGTTCCATTAATGTCATTTTAACAGAAAACACCATTAGGTGAACTCATGTCCTAAGCTCCCACTTTGAAGACTGCCCAAGGTTCCCAACACAATTTTGTTTGACATTTAGCTAAAGACTACCTTTATGATGTAACTGATTTTTCTACTCTGTTGGAGGTCACTTAAAAAGGTTTAATTGTTGCTTTTTGAAAGGTCACTATTAGTAATTCTTTCAAGCCCCTTTCTGCAAAGTAAAGTGCTGATTAGCATTACTTTCAATCCTACCAGGATGTGACTCCACCACTAATATCCACATGACATTCGTAGAATATATCAAAATATTGTCTAACTAAATAAGATCCAAATAAACTGGGTAAATTATACTGAGTTATTTTATTTTATAGCTGTACAACAATAATTTGTTGCTCTTTGTTATTAATTCACCACAAAATGAAATGGGGAAATAACTCTAACAGAAACAAAACAGAAAAAAAGAGATAAAATCCTAGGCAAAACCAATATTTTTCATCTGCTCATCTTGATGGCCTTATATATTTTTCAATGTCCTCCTCCACTGTTTCAGTTGGTGGAGTATTTTTGAAGAAATAAGTCTCAAACTTATTGGGTTACATCATGAGAAAGAGCCAGAGAGTTGGAATCAGATTTAGTTTTATTCAGTAATGATGCATGATTCAAAAACAATGTTTTGGAAGAAACATTGCAAATTACATCTCCTGCTATTCACTGAAATCAACTCCTGCTATTTATTGAAGGATACTGCTTATTATTTTTTTTTTAGGTTTGTGCATAAACCTGAAAAAAGAGGTGATGCTATTTTTAAAATTGCTTTAACTATAAACTATGGAGTTGAAGTCCATAGTCATAAAGGGGCCATAGTTCCCTGTCTCTGCTTTAAAGCATTGGAATCTTTCTAGCACTTTTTTTCTGGCTCCTATTGTAACTTGAAAAAACTGGATTCCGTTTTTTCCGTCAAAAAATATATTCAAGCAAGGGCTAAAATATGTATTTTGAATCATTTTGAAAGACCTGCCATGTTGAGATGATTAAAAAATAAATGTTAGGCTTTCAAGAGCTTTTGGCCTTGATGGGTGTCTATTATCTCCAGAATCTTATCATCCAGCTGTTGGAATTAAAAATGGAAAGGGGACGTTATCCCATTTTCTGCAGAGTTACACAGAAGCCTGGATTTTACAGACCTTTATCCTGACCCAACAGATGCTGCCTTATGTTCTCAAATCCCATGAGACACTTTCTAGGATGACTACATCTAGGTCTAATTCCGATAGAGAGGTAGAGTCTGAGAGGACTGAAATAGAGAGGCAAGGATTTATATTTCATGGCAATTGGAGATTAATTATTATAAACCATTTAAGATAAAGGTAATCCTCAGCTTATGATCACAATTGAGCCCAACATTTCTGTTGCCAAGCAAGGCAGATGTTAAGAGAGTTTTCCCCATTTTATGACCTTTTTGCCACAGTTATTAAGCAAATCACTGCAGTTATTAAGTGAACCATGCAGTCATTATAGCTTCCTTCATAGACTTTGCTTGTCGGAAGTCAGCTGAGAAGGTTACAAATGGTGATAACATGACCCCGGGATAGTGCAACTGTCATAAATTCATGCCAGTTCTCAAAAGCCTGAATTTTGATCAGATGACAGTGGGGATGCTACAACAGTTGCATGTGTGAAAACCGTAAGTCACATTTTTTAGTTCTGCTGTAACTTCGAACAATCACTAAATGAATGGTTGTAAGCTGGTATTTCTGTTGTAAGCAAAAGTGGGCAACCACAGGATTATTTTCTGAGAGGCCATCACTGTTCAGAAGCCAGCTATATTGAAATGGAGAATATCCTTTTATTTACTTCATCACTTTAGGCCAACCATTTTTATGTCAGAACCTGTGAAACAGTGAAATAAAGGACAACTGCTGTTGTCCCATTCTCCAAAGGCTGATTAACTCCCAGTATGAGATGAAATTAAAAATAGCATTCATTTTCCAGTATCATCTTCCTTGCATGTTTATTGAACATAGGGCAACTGCAGTATATGCATATGGAATCGGACAACTCACCACTGCCAACTTGGCATGGCTAACTTGCCATGGGCCAATTCATCATGGGACAACTCACTGTGGGGCAATTTAACAATTCAATTTAATTATTTAAAATAATTTTTTTAAAATTTTTTGTCATTCACATTTCATTCTGTCCCTCCTTTTTCATCCCTTCTTTAATGATTCCATTCCACCATTTCTTTGATATTAGTGTAACTCTTGTCCCACAGCGAGTTGTCCTGCAATGAGTTGGCCATGGAGAGTTGATGCAACAAGTTGGCCATGGCGAGTTGGTCATGGCGAGTTGGTCACGGTGAAGTCATAGATGTATGTATGTATGTATGTATGTATGTATGTATGTATGTGTGTGTGTATGTGTGTATGTATGTGTGTGTATGTATATATGTGTGTGTGTGTGTGTGCGCGCGCGCATATGCATTTGCTGAATAAGCATCACGGAAAGTTAGGCTACCATACCTGGAGTGCAAAACTCCAGACAATCATTACAGTAGACAGTGCCAAAGACATTATTTGATGCTATATACTAGTTGTCCAGATTTTACAGTTCTCTTTTATTCAAGGGTGGAGAAAAGCAGAGCTTATGACTATAATGACAATTTCCTCGTACTCATATATATTTAACAAATCTGTATATTTAAACAAAAGAACCTCAGCATCCAAGTGGGTTGGGGAGGGTATATAATACAAAGTAAAGAGGTAATGGTAATAATGGGCACTTTCTAGCCCTTTCCAAGGTTGCTTAATTGAATCTCCTTAACTTTATTCTTGTTGTTAATAGGCAAATGTAAAATCACTATTCATTTTTCCATACAATGTATAATTTTCATATCCTATCAGATATAAAAAAGACCATTCTTTTTTATAAATCAGGCAACAGGACTACAGTTTCTTGCCATGCTGCAAGAGAAGGCCAAACTTTGGCTCTCATATGGATAACTGGCCAAAGATTTTATCTCAGTGCTGGTTCAAGGTATAGGAGGCCCCTAAGCCACACTGACTGATAGTGCCACTTCTGGCCACTGAAAATATTTTAGAATCATTTTTTAGAATGATTCAGAAGTAGAGACAGTATTTGGTGCCCTCTAAACTTTGATACCCAGGACAAGTACTTACCCAGCCTTCTCCTAAAGGTGGCCTGTCTTGTGCTATGCTACTCATCTGTCACCTCCCTTTTTGTATTCCTGGATATTGGTACAAGAGATGTTGCCCACAGAATGAAAACTGTATTTGAAAACCAATGCAATTTTTCCTCAGCCTTTTTCATTTTTCTATACATAATACATATACTTTGGCCAGAAAATTGTTTAACTTACACATAAAAACAAGTGAAGAATAAAGAAATACCTCAAAGTTAAAAAATAGTGTCAAATCAATGACTATTTTTAAAAAATTGCTAACACTTGCATCACAGATTTACCATTATGTCTCATTGACTGGGATTTATTTACCGATTTTCAAACAGGTTTTGAGATTTTTTTCCTTCCAAATTTCTCAGAAAAACACCATTCTAGGTTCCTGAGCAAATGAATTCTAAGTCTTTTTCCTGCCTTGTATGCAACAGGGTGAGAACAAGGAAAGAGAAGTGATTAGAGTCATAATAATTGTTAAAGTGTACCTGATGGAGAAATATGTCTCCAAGAGATGGAAGGATCAGGTTTCCCTGTAGCTAAGCAGGCCAGTGTGATGTTGCTTCCTTCGTTCGCCACAATATCATTTGAAATATGACTTATCTTTGGAGAAACTGAAATGAAAGAACACAAAGCAATTAAATATTTCCTTATTCATGAAATGCCTTTAAGCTAATTAATTTAGTGAAGTCATCATAGTCAACAATAGGATAATTCTTTAAGGCACCTTTAATGATCCAGTACCCTTCAGATGAATTGGATTCTGCATCACATACTCCCAAACAACAGCTATCCTTGTTCCAAAATTGTAATCTCCAGGAAAATAAATTGTATGAGCCACCGAAACTGAGAACTTCAACATGAAGCACTATTTCTGAGGCAATGTGTTAGCACTCTAATGTGCTATACATTTGTGTTTTGGTCGATACAATATTTAGTCTTACAGAGTTGCATGTATTTCAGGAATTCTGATTTTTTTTCCACCACTTATCAAGGAATGGTTTCAGTGAAGAATGTTTCTATATTTGGAGACTTCATGTATAATTTTATACAGTTCTGAATTGGAAGAAACATTTTTTTACTGAGTCTGCCCTAATAAACTGACTATTGTAGTGTCCCTGTAATAAATGTTCATGAATTTTATCCAACTCATCTTATCTTCATAAAAGTCTAATGAGTTAGTTTAAGCTGAAAAATAGTGATTGGTTCAAGATCACAGAATGGATTTTTTTAGACCAACATAGGTTGAAACCTGGGCTTTCCTAGACTTGAGCTGTAGACTACAGTAATGTCATAGTGTAATGGATATAGTTTTATTCATCAACTTTCAGGGGTTGCATACAGCCAGGAAGGATATGGGCACACAAACATCCCCACAAACACGTATTGCTTTCCATCTTATAGATGGATAAAGATGTGAGTTCTCATCTTTCAGTTTTTCATTGGAAGGAATGATAAATATTTCTGATTATTTATTTGTTAAATTTATTTGCTGCTCATCTCATTGTGGGGCTACTTTGATTATAACCAGGAACACTTGATTTCAGCCAGTATTTATTTACCTTATAATAGCCCCCTACAAAAAGTCACTTTCCCCTTCTTCTTGAAATATTATTCCTGCAGAAGAAAGTAGAGGAAAATAAACAAGGATTTCCCATTCCTTCTTCTTGGAAACTGGACCAGCATTGCAGTCCTAGCTAGCATATAAGGATTTTCTAATAAGGTCAGACTTTTTTTTTCCTGTCAGAGGGATTGTTATCACAGGGTAATGTGCTAAACCAGGGGTCTTCAAACTCGGCCGTTTTATGACTCATGGACTTCAACTCCCAGATTCCTCAGCCAGCATGCCTGGCTGAAGAATTTTGGGAGTTGAAATCCATGAGTCATAAAAGGGCCGAGTTTGAAGACCCCTGTGCTAAACCATTCACACAGCACCGAAGTAAGTGGTAGCCGGGCCTTAGCCAAAGTGAGTGGAAGTGACTCAGCCCCTTTCTCTCTCAAGCTCCTTTTTCTAGTTTTCTTTCTGCCATCTCTCTCCCCCCCCCACTCTCTCTGTCTCTCATATTATATTTTCCAGATGTTAATATATCTCCAAACATTCAGGATTCCCCACCTGTTCTTTTCTGCCTTTTGCCAACAGCACCTCCAAAGTTAGGAGGAATAAATATTTAGATGGTCAGTATACAGAGTGTTCTTCTAATGATCATCAGTACATCGAGGAAAAAAAACCCCAGCTCTAATGATATGTATTAAGTTCCCTTGGTTAAACAGCTCTATAAAAATTATACAGCAGCAGAATCAATAAAAATAATTCTAACCAGCTTTCTTTCACAAGAGTTGTTGCAAGGCTACATCAACGCACATCGATCAATTCCAGGCAGTCTTCCAGGACAAGAAGGAGTGCAAGGAATGTTTATTGAATCTAGCCTCAGGACATCACCCTTTTTGCGCTGCCTTTTTGCGCAGCATTTTTCATGCCTTTTTCATTTTTGCCTTTTAATTTCTACTAAGTACCATTTCTCAATAGCTAGGAGGGGCATTGCTCCATTTTGCTTCCCAGAGATGGGAAAAGAATTTGACAACGTCTCCAGTTTATTTCTACAATACAATTTGTTTACATGTGGGCACAGTTTCAGTGATTGATTTTCCCCGAGGAGACTTACATTTGAAGTGCTGCGTAACAACAAATGACATGGTAAACACTTGGAAGGACCAGGCTGTGCAAAGCCACTTTTAATCCTCTGGGAGTCTTTAAAAGGAGCAGAATGTGGATTGTTGCCAGATTCAAGTACTCTAAGAAGGGATTTCTGTACACGGGAACATGGGCTATGGCTTATTTTCTTTGCAGCCCTCATTCTTTCCCCACTGTGCACACTGGAACCTCAATAGGTGGAAAGAGCATCTCTCTAATATCTGTTCCTGGAAAGAGATGAAAGCAAAATATTCGTGCCCTACATGTTGCCCTGCAGGAAACAGAATACTGGAGAAGTTCTTTCTTCTTCATCTTTCTCCTTCTTCCTTCTTCTTACATCTTCCTTCTTCTTCCTCCTCTTCCTCTTTTCCTCTTCTCTTTCTTCTGCTTCCTCTCTCTTTTCTCTTCCTCTTTTTCTCCTCCTCCATTTCCTCCTTCCCTCTTTATTTTATTTAAATGCAGAGGGGAGATCACATTTTTAAAAAAGCATAAAAGCTATCTTGGTGCCTTGGCTGAATAGACCGAATAAAAAGAAGACTGAGTTTAAATTGTTTTAAATGCAGAGGCAGTTATTCTTAAGAGGTGTAGAATGCCCTGAGGATGAAGTCAGTATGATGTGCATATTTGTTCTTCCTAGAGCTCTCTGTTAATCCAGCATCTATTAGCCCTCAAAACAGATTTATGTGCCACAAGGTGCAGACACTGTACTAGTTTATCAATAGCAGGATTGACATTTGTCCTATATTATTTTATTAACAAGGAGGGTTTATTAAACACTGTTTCTCAGCTATTTAAAATATTTGGAGGTTTGACATATCCTCAGATAATATAGGCTCAGTTTTCTCTTTCCTCCCCCCCTCCTCCTCCTCTTGAGAAAATTGATAATTTTCTCAAGAATTTTCCTGAAGAGTAGAAGTGTACAAAGAAAAGAGATAAAAGTGGTGGATTGACCAAACCACTGTATGCACTGCTTGTGCTTTTTCCTTAATTTTCAGATGTATCTGCTTCATCAGTAGAGAGTTATATTAATATACAATCCCTGGGCAGATTGTGCAAATGTTACACTATTTTATAATTCAGGAGAAAAAGCAGAAGATAAACTTTTTGGGAATAACTCTCTGGTATAACTCTCTCATCTTGTTATATATGTAAACAGAGATGTGTGGGTTTCATTTTGACTAGCCAACTTTAAATGAAGGCAAAACCAGAGAAAAATGCAGAAATTGAAATATGATTGCACAGCTTGCCACAATTTTGTTAAAGTGTTATATTCAACAGCGCTATCTGAGGTGAGAACAGCAGCAGAAACATATCCTACAGCAAAGTGTCAGTAGCAGAAAAAGGACAGCCGACAAATAGCAACTACCTCATATTTAGGATTGAGACTCCCGTAGTTTTCAGAGTGTGTTTTAACCAGGAATGTCCACCAGGTTTGGTGAAAATCCTTAAGACAGTGGCCACAGTGTTGCAACTGAAGCTCCACATACAAAATATAAGCAAGGCTTCAATCACATCCTTGACTTTCTTGCCCATGCTCAGTGAACACTCTAGTTTCAACAACTGTATAATAGGCACATTTCACAAAACCCTAAAGCAAGTCACTAGGCTCATATACATGAGCACTGTGTAGTCTTAAAAGAACAGAATTAAAAGTGCCTTTATCATACCCTGCACAGAAAACAACTCTTTTGATATATTTTATACCAAGTTTGGAGAGCAAGGATCATAGAATGAAAAGTCCTTAGTGCTACTTACTTAGTTGCAGAACACACCCACTGACAGCAGTGCCAAGTGAATTCATGAATATAATATAATATAATATAATAGAATAGAATATAATAGAATAGAATAGAATAGAATAGAATAGAATAGAATAGAATATTGGCCAAGTGTGATTGGACACACAAGGAATTTGTCTCCAGTGCATAAGCTCTCAGTGTACATACAAGCAACAAGTGAAAAATCATAATCACAATCTTCATAAAAGTACATTTATCATAAATCATAATACTGTACAACACTCAGTGATAGGATACTAAATAAGCAAACAACATAAATCATACTAGGATATTAAATAAAAATTAATATAAATCATAAGATACAAACAACAAAGTTATAGTCATAAGAAGATAAGGAGATAGGAAAGATGAGAAGGATAATAGAATAAAACTTTACTAGGTTGTTTGATAAGTGTTGTGGGAATTAGTTGTTTAGCAGAGTGATGGCGGGGGGGGGGGAACTGTTCTTGTGTCTAGCTGTTCTGGTGTGCAATGCCCTATAACATCATTTTGAGGGTAGAAGTTGAAACAGTTTATGTCCAGGATGTGAAGGGTCTGTAGATAGTTTCATAGCCCTCTTTCTGGCTCATGCAGTATACAGGTCCTCAATGGAAGGCAGGCTTTTCCTGCAGTTCTAACTATCTATTGTGGTCTGTGTCTGTCTTGTTTGGTCGCAGTATCAAACCAGACAGTTATAGAGGTGCAAATGAGGCATGAAGAAAGTTTTCAATTTCCTCATGCAATGTTTCATTCCTTGTTTCAAAACTTACTATACAGACCAGGTGCAAATGGAAAAATTTTAATCCTATTAAATGTTTTTTTAAAAAAAAATCAGTTTAAATAAGCAACACACTGACTTTATCCTCACTCCTCATTAAGAAACTAATTTCATTGTGTTAAAAAACTTGAAACAAGACTAGTTTAAATAATTACATACTTATTTAATAATTGTTAAACTATTAAATACTAAATGTAACTATATTTAAAGGTAAAATACTTAAATTATTAAATCCACAAAGCTCAGGTTTGTATTACATGATTGACTATTGGTATAATATGGAGTGCAAAATTGTTTTGGGTGGTTTTTTTGACTTTGGGAAAAACTGCCTTAATTGAAGCTATACAGGAGCCACATAAGTGGTAG